ATAATAATAATAATAATAATAATAATAATAATAATCACTATAATTTTAATAATCAATTTAAATCGATCGTTCTGTGTCTTTCCCTAACACCGAGAATAAAATGACAAGAACGATATCGATTTTACGGTTTGCAGTTTAAATAATCGCAATTTTTTCGGTTTGTATTATCATTCATTTTATTATATTAATTTTGGTTTAAACGATTCCGAGCTCTATTAGGGAAATGAAATAATTAGTGCGTAAAGTAAGAAGGACAAGCTTTCTTTTCTTTTAAATTACATTTTAACTGCATAATATATTTACTTTCTTTCTTAATTATTGAATTCTTCGTCTCTACTTGAAAGAATTCTGTACTTCTGTTTCTTTTTTTGATTGTTGGTTTTTAAACGACGGGAATAGATTTGCAATTTTCCTTACCTACCTGCTGTCATTTCGTGTTGTATTCGTCATTTAAAATATATTTAGAGAGACAAAGTTCGGATCGATGTGATTTTCGTGAAAAAAAGAAAAAAAAAGAGAAAAAAAAAACAAAAGAGAATTCGACGTTCTTCAAAATAAATGCATACATATATATATTTATATATGTATACATATTTAAAAAGTTTATATTATTAGTTCTGTTTTGTAATGTAATTTTTAACGAAGAAAAATGATCTATTCTCATTATCGTTTAATTTTTTTAATTGAAAAAAATCGAATTCCAATGTAAGGATATAATGTATTACTACTTTGATTTGAGCGTTTTAGAAATTGTTATATAGTATCATTATAAAAATAGAATAGAAAACGTGTTTTCATAAATAATGAAGTATGAAGAAAGAAAATTGATCGCATGCCACTGTCACCTGCACCATCACCGTAACTACATAATATAATTCTACATTAGTTTGCTTGTGTGCTCAGGCTGCATGATTGATATACACATACATATATCTTGGACTAATTGAATCATCTTTTTCCCAACAACAAATAAAGCAAAAAAATATTGTTAAGATTTTTTTTCTCTCTCTTCGTATCTTGTAATTTTAATATTTTGTTTGTTTATTCTACAAAAATATTTTATTACACTTTTTTTTTTTTAATAAAAACTTTGAATAAAAGATATGCACAATTGAAATGTTAAATTTTACGCCGAATATTTCTTTCCGATTTCACATTAAATACCTACAATTGAAATTATTAATATTATTAAGATTTGATTAGAAAAGATGTTCATCTTTTCTTCATTTATATATTTTATATATGTAATAAAATCCAATATTGAAATTTGTCCAAATAATTTTCTACCAAATTTGTATACACACACAATATAGGTAGTGTGGTAACACATGCCCATGGATTTGAAAAATATAACTTTTGCATGCAAATGATGAATTGGCGTGTGATAAACGTTTTTGTTGTTTTTGAATTCATTAATTTATATATATATCTTAATAAAATATAAATAAAATTAAAATAAATACCGCGATACACCGAATATTAAAAAAAAAAAAAATAATAATAATAAAATCAAGTCTTTTCCAAAAATATACACAAAAATATGTACTTGTAAAGTTAGTGCGTATAAAGGAGGAATATATAATGGTAGTTTTGATTTAGTTATTAAAAGGAATATTGATGATTGTCGGAACACATACAGCACTTAGCAATGCTTACTAGTAGAGTATCTACAATAGTATGACCTACGCCCGAGAGTACCTATACCACACATTTATAATAAAAGAAGAAAAAAAACAAAGTTTCATGCACGCCCTATATATAATATATATATATATATATAAATCATAATCTGAACAATTTTTTCATATAGGAAAAAAGGAAATAAGAGAAAAGAAATAAAAAAAAATATATATATATCTTTTACATTGGTAGGAAAGGTTGTCTTCTTTCTGTATTTTTTTTTTTAAACAAGGCTGCTGTATCGATCATTTATATTCGTGCAATCAATTTGTGAATCTGATTTTTAATGTGTCGATCATTATGTATTCTTAAAACTAATTTTTTTTTAAATATTGATACAAGATTGAAAATATATTCTTATATTTGTATATTACTGTAAAGATATTTGATTTTTTCAATTCTTCTATGATATATTATTGTTATATTCTTT